GAAATCACAAGCTGAAATCAACAGCAAAAACGACTTCCACCTGGAACTTTTAAATGTTCGACAGAGTTGAGACTTAAAAAGACAGGGACTTCCATACTTGGAGATCTCAGCTACAGATCTGGTATAGCTTCAAGTTAAAGGAGTGTCAATTAAAGTTTCAATAGCTGTACACTACATTACATTCATTATGAAAAACATTTAACATGTTTAATGAAAAAATCCTTCAGAATTTCCTCAATCATTTACATATTGAAATAAAAAAAAGACATAATTGAGATTTAATAATTGCATTTGTGCAATCCTCCGTACATGTTAGTGAACTGCAAAGAGATGAAAATATTTTTTGAGTGGGTTCATGATCTTTACTATAGTTGGATCCCGTTACCTACATAACGGAGTTTTTGAGGTGGTGAAGAGCTCGGATCTGAACGCTGAGGGGGAGTTTCTGGCCCAGCGGGGGAGTCTGGACGTAGTGGTCCCCACAGAGTTAGAGGGGGCGGCATACATACAGGTGGAGGTGAAATCTGTCCCAGGTAACTAAACACCTGTTATACAGGTAACAAAAATTGTAATATCTAACAGAAAGCAATGAACATGTCTTGTTGCATGCAATATTTATTGTGCATTGTGGTACATCACCTTCTGGTTATTTTCATTTCCAAGCATTATTTGTATCATTCCCTAAGACAGTAACACAACATGAGTTGTTTCCCATTTAAAAGATAGCCATTTTTCTGTTTTTTTCATATTTTTTTGTTTTCTTTAGACACTATGGATCTGACAGGTGCTATACTTAAGATACCATCAGGAATCGGTCCAGTACGAAGTGAAACTTATTGGCAGCAGAAACTAGAGAAAGCACAGAATGTTCTATTCTGTAAGGAGATCTTTGCACAGGTAAGATATTTGTAAATATGACACACAAGTTGTCTGTAAAAAAAAAATTAGAATTTGTTGCTCAATGAGAGGTTGAGACTAATTTGGAACATTGCATTTCATTCCACTGAATGTCAAATTCATGTCTTAAATATATCTGGAATTGATGTTTTTTCTTCCTGTAAAGCTTGCCAGAGAGGCTGTTCAGTCTAAATCCTCTGTCCCTCACCTGGTGGTCGGGAACCAGATTATCACCAACGTAAGTCATTCACAACACAAACTGTAATGTAAATACATGAACCAGATTATCACCAATGTAAGTCATTCACAACACAAACTGTAATGTAAACATGCAAACCTTCTGTGTTTTTAACACAAAATAATAAAAACAGTTCTAACACCTTTCTGAAAAAAATTAAACTAAATAGTTTAAGAAGAATTCTTTGTACCTCCAATGGATAAAATGAGCCAGCTGCAGTTTCCTAAAATCATGAACCCATGTCCGTATAAAAAAAAACTTTTTTTTTTGGACAGGTGTTTCCAGGCATACAACTCTCCATTGTCTTGTGTCACTCCACAGGGAAAGAAAAAGAGAAGAAGGTAACGGAATGTTCAGCTTGTTTTGTTTCATTTCTATTGGTACATGAATTTTCAGGTGTGTTAGATAAATTATTTTATCTGGGTTTATGAACTCCCTACAGCTGCCTCAGTATAAAATGGACCACAACCACGTGTTAGAGCACTCTCTGCACCAGCTGCTGAGAGAGAACCACTTTAAGAACATAAACTTTCCCGCGCCCCACCCTGTGACGGCTCTGGTGGGACTGACCAAGCGCCGGAGACTGGCTGGACCTAACGCTCTCAGTCGTAAACAGCTGATGGAGATGTCAGAAAGGTCAGATAGGTCAAGGGTCAGATAGGTCAGGTGATTACTGGCCTCACTAAAATTTAATTTACAATAATGATAGAAAGTTACAAATATTTGCAAGTGGAATAGAATTTTGTTTAATTAAATCCAGTTTGTATCAATATTGTGTGAAGTGTTAAAATGGAGTTTATTAAGATGTACAAATGACACTAATATTTAATTTTAGTTGAGTAAATTTTAATTTCTGTGAAATTCAAAATTTTTTTGAAAAGAAGGTATCACTTTTAGGCCAAAAAAAAATTAATTTCTTGGTTCTCAGGCCCTTCCTCATCTCTTCCAAGGGTGCTTCATTGACCCTTTTTATTGCTAATCAATAAAATATATACACACCAAATCACCTCCCTCATTATTTTTTGAGGTTTGAACAATGTAAAAAGCTGCCTCATCATGTTTTTGGGGCAAAAAAAAAAAAAATAAAATGCCTCCCTCCTTCATCATATTTCTTGAAAAAAGGCCTGAGAACCAAGGAATTAATTTTGCATGGCCTTACAGAAATATTTTTTTCTTTCAGTGAGAGTATGTTGGATCAAATCATCAAACAGACAAAGCATAATGTGCTCCGGTTAAGGTCAGTATTCCAATCTTTCTGTTTGAAGGTTGCTTGCCATGAATAACATGCAATATGAGTAACATAAACTTTATTCATTGCAAACAGGTAAACTCTAATCAATAGACCACTGTGAGAGTTAAGTTACCAATATAACTGGATTTACTTTTCAGGACAATGCAGACCATTGATGGGTTTGCGGCCACTCTGTCGGACCCCCAGTTGACCGTTCACTGGAGTTGTTGTAACAGCAGTACTGAGGCCAGCTGTAGGGTCATCATCACATCTCAAGGTTATGACCTCAGGTGGGTCACAATGGGGTCATCATCTTATCTCAAGGTTATGACCTTGTGTATGTGACAGTAGGGTCTCCATTATATCTTAAGGTTACTGCAAAAGCAAATATTCATGGTGAATTAAATTTTGTTGTTAACAATTATCAGCAAAGTTAAATCCAACACAAAATTTTATATGACTATATTTCCTTTCAAAACAAAATTAAATGCCGACGAAACAACTTTTTATGATAAATCAACAAAATTTTATCCCCGATAAAATTTGTGAATTTACAGTATATCACAGTCATTCCATCATTACTCCTGAATGTCATGACCTCAGGTAGGTCACAGTAGGGTCATCATTACATTTTAAGGTTAATATTTCAGGTAAGTCACAGTAGGATTAATCATCACTGCTCACTGTTATGATCTCAGTTCAGTTTACATGTTGTCTAATTTACAGAGTTTGGCACAATTTTTTAATTATCATCAGTGTTGATAGTTTAGTTCATGTTGTTTTCTTTTTTACAGGGTGTGGCACAGCTTTGTAATTATCATTGGTGTGGACAGCCTTAAGGTCATTATTAAGGAGGGCAGAGTTTTCTTCTTATCTTTTGAGGAGAAAGAACTACAAGACTTTATTATGTGGCAGGTATAATACCTCAAACACTTTCTTTATAAGACTTCCATAAAAGTATTTAGCTGTTGATCTAGTAATTTCCAGCTAATTTCAATATTTCTGTTAAACTATTTATTGTCCTACCATCACATATCATGAACTTATTTATTTCATTAACTAGTAATTACATCTACCTAGAAACTTATAACTAATTTTTCTGTTTTAATGCCGAGTTTTGTAAGTTTTACATATCTGAATTATAGATTACACCTCTTGTATACATTGTATTGCCACATACTGGTGAAATGCTTCAAATTTTGATCTTTACTTGGCACTTTTTGCCATTGAGCAGTGAGGGATCTTTATCGTGCTAAAGTCTACATAGACATGGGACATTGTTCTCTAAGGTCTCATCCAAAGTTACAAAAGGACATTTTAGAATTTGATTTTTTATTTGCAGTAAGAGTACAATTGTTTTGTAGGTATCTCAGCACCAGATCTCAGTATCCCAGAACTTGGCTCGCCTGATGGGGTGGCAGATCATGAGTACCAGTACAGCGATGGGCGTGTCTGACCTGGAATCTTCTGGCACCGCCTCCTCTCTCATCCTAGCAGCCCCCAACAAAGAAAGGTCAGCATTTTGTTAAAATAATATACAAAGAAATATGTATGCATGACCAAAATGCAGCAAAGTACATCTTTATAAGAATTATTTTCTTTATGTGGAGACAATTAATTAATAAATTTTAATTATGAGGAAAGATTTCCTTTTTGAAAAAATCAGTGCTCATGTCATTAGGGAAACAGTATTCAAATCATTTAAAGAAAAAATGTTTCATTGTTTAAATGTAGCAGTAATTGTTAAAGATGTAAGTACCTTAACCTATGGAAAGAATAATTACATGCTGTTCAAAACTATTACTGTAAAATGTATAAAATTTGATTTACTTAAATCAAAATAATGTTGACAAATGAACCAGGTACTGATGTATTTAATATTTTTCATAAAAAATATCTATGTATTGTAGTGTGTAGATATTTATTAAACAAAGAAATGATTAATAAAAATTGATTTTTTTAGGATTCTTGCAATAAAGAGTGGGCCATCCAGTGGAATTAAGGTGTTCCTGCAGTTATCACAGAAAGACAACAAAAACAGAGTTATCCTTCCTGACAGTAAATGGCAGAGCGTGGGGGCAGACTTTCAGCAGGTGGATCTAACCAAATTTGAGGGGCGGAATTTCGCCTCTAAACTAGAACTGTTATTAGCTACATTGTCTCATGATTCTTCACAAAATTCATCCCAATAAAAATAATCTCATCTCAAACTTATGTACTATTTTGGTTTTTTGTGATAATCTAGCTGCCACTGACTGCAATTGATTTCATCCAATGAAATGACTCCTCACCTCAGTCAATGATCAAAAATCAGCATTTTTTTTAAAACTATAAGTATCAAAGTAATATATAAAGCTAAAAACCTTTACCTTTACTTCTTACTTCTCATTGAAACAAATCTAATTCAAGGACAGAAATCAAAAGTTTGAACTTATAGCACAAGAAAATTGACGTAACTTGACCAGCTCAAACATATGCACTACTGCATAGTAAAAATTGTTTTCAAAAAATTTTAAAGCTTTATGAAAGGGACTTATATATTTACATACTAAGGAACAATAAGTAGGAAATTTTATCAGACAGGTTTCACCTCACAGCATGCAATAGATTTCAATGTGTCTGCAAACTTTTCTAACAGCCTCGTCCTCTTGTTATTTTTCTGGAGTGGCAAAATTCTTTTCCAAAATTTCTCAATTCTGACGTTTTTTTTCCTGCCAGTATGGACCTTCCGGAGAAATGTTTGTCTTTGTTTATAAATACCTGTACACTCAACGGTCAAGCTGCTCTTTCTTTTGCTGATAATATCAAGTTTTTCTATTCTCTCCACTTAGTCCAGGAGGATTTTCCTCCTTTCAGATATTTCAATGGGCAAATGTCCAGTTGTATCTTATGATACGAGAATAAACTGAGTTCATAAGTATAAAAGAAATTTTTATCCGTTTGTTTGTTTTATTTATTCATTGATTAAATGTCAAGAGATTAGAATTTAGTAAGAGACTGAATTTTATTGACATGGAAGTAAAGTGTTTTTTTTCTACAAATGTACTTTAATTGACATCTCGCCGCACTGATCTATTTCACAATCTAAACAGGAGTATTATAACCCACGTTTTCTTTTTTTTTTAGAAAGAGAGGTGGGTTTATATTTTAATTTTTTTGCTGAAGGTATTCATATCTATCTGATTAAAATCAAATCCGCTCATTAATATTTGCCGCTCGTGTAGCTACAATAAAAAAGGTAGGGGAGCTCGTGTATCTGATTTTAATCAGATTAGTACAGTATTTATATGCAGTTTCTCTAGAAATTCAAGAAGACATCCATTTTCTCTAAAATGTTTAAAAACATTGCAACTTCACAAAACCCTTTTTTCATTATCTGGATTCTGAGATGAAAATTCTTAATATGAAATAAAAGCAACAAGTCTTTATTGACGTTTAAAACGGAACGCTGGTTTTTGGTTGAAGTCAAAGAGTTTATGAACAGGGGTATTTTAAAGATAAAATGAACCTATAGATTTAGCTCTTTTAGCAAATCGTTTATGTAAGCGCATGAAAACACCGTAAAACCATTCAAAAACAATATCTATTTTAAGTGTGAAACAAATGCCGATATATTTTCTCGCCTGACCTTGTAATCAAAGAAATTCATAGCTCAGTTGAGTGCTCAAGTGAACTTTCCTGATCAAAGAGTGATCAAAATTTATACTAGGTATCAAAATATTATGTAAAACTAAAAACCCTTACCTTTACTTATTACTTCTCGTTTTGAAACAAATTTAATTCAAGGACAGAAATAAAAAAAAAAAGATTTTTTTTGCACAAGTTTATTGACGAAACTTGACTGGCTCATACGCATGATCGCATAGTAAAAATTGTTTTCAAAAGTTTTCATAACTTTAATAAATGGACTCGTATTTTTACACACTAAGGAACAATTAGAAAAATTTTATCAGACACGTCATACTTCACAACACACAATGGATTTTCCGTAAATCAATGTGTCTGCACTTTTCAAACAGCCTCATATACTCTTGTTTTTTTCTCGAGTGCCAAAATTCTTTTCCAAATTTTCTCCCTTGCTCTGCTCTTATTTTGTATATTTGTTTAATGGACGTTGAGATTGAATACTGTTCGTTTTTTCCATATCCTTCTTCTGACGTTTTTTTTTCCAGGCAGTACGAACCTTCCGGAGAAATGTTTTTCTTTATTTATAAATACGTACCTGAACACTGAGCGGCTGATAATATCAGGTTTTCTGATTTTCTCCGCTTGGTCATTGAGGATTTTCCTCCTTTCAGATATTTTAATGGGCAAATTTCAACTTGTATCTATATATTATATCTTATGATTAGGGAATAAACGAAGTTCGTCAGTATGAAAGAGAGTTTTATCCGTTATTATGCATAGTAGATATTGTTATAAGTTTTCCAAATTTCAGTAAATCGACCTGATTTTTTACTTAATTAGATAAACACATAAAGTAGAAATTTAATCAGACAATTACACTGTATGTCATAGTTCACAAATCACAACACATTTTCCGTTAATCAATGTGTCTGCAAGCTTTTCTAACAACCCCAAACTCTAGAACTTGTTTCTTCTGAGATGGTGACAAAATTGTTTTCTAAATTTTCTCCCTTCTGTCGTTTTTTTCCCGGCAGTACGGACCTTCCGGAGAAATGTTTATCTTTACTTATAAATAACTGTACACTCAGCAGTCAATCTGCTTTTTCTTCCGCTGATAATATCAGGTTTCTATTTTTCTCCACTTCGTCAATAAAGACTTTCCTCATTTCAGACATTTCAATGGGCAAATTTAAATTTGTATCTATAAATCTTATGATACGAGAATAAATCAATATGAAAGAAAGTTTTATCCGTTTTATTTCTTTTAATTATTCATTGATAAGATGTCAATTTAAGAGATTAGAATTTAGTATGAGAGTGGATTTTACCGACATGAAAGTGTGCATGCACGTACTGAACTATTCAAAATCTAAATCGGAGTATTATAACCCACGCTAAAGTTTTTTTGGAACGAATGGTGGGTTTTTATTTTATTTCTTTGCTGAAGGTATTCATATCAATCATCTGATTAAAATTAAATCCGCTTCTTTATATTTTTTGTCGCTACTTGACAATGTGTAGCTACAATGAAAAAATGAGCGAGTTCGATCATCTGATTATAATAAGATTCGTATTTATATTCAATTCTCTCAAGAAATTCAAAAACACATCCGTTTTCTCTAAAATGTTTAAAAACACTGCAACTTCAAAAAACTTTTTTTCATTATCTGGATTCTGAGATGAAAAAAATTAATATGAAATAAAAGCAACGAGTCTTTGTTGATGTTAAAGACGGAAGACTGGTTTTTGGTTGAAATCAAGAAGTTTTTGAACAGGGCTATTTTATAGATCATAAATTAATCTATAAATATAGCTCTTTGAAAAAAAATTTATGCAAGTACATGAAAAGACCGTAAAACGCTCAAAAGCAAAATCTGATGTAAGCGTAAAACCTTGCTTCTCTATTCTTCTTTCTCTTCTGATGTCCCAAATTTTGTTATACCTTACAAAAAAAAAAAAAAGAAATTCATACGTTCTTCAGTTACTTAAAGATATTTATTTATTCTTCACTTTCATTTCAATACATTTGAAGACCGTTGCTTCTCTGCAGATAAATTCGACGGGAAACATCAGCTTAATACCTGAAATTAAAAAAACAACATACGTTTATTATTCTGTATGTATGGGATAGATAAACATAGATATGAGAAAGGGTTCACATATTAACTCATGATAGCTTAACAGTAATACAGTTCAACTTTCAATGAAAAAAAACTAATAAATGGCAAATTAATCATTTAGATATTTACCATTGAGAGATAAACAATCAATCAGAACATTGCATTTCTGATAGGCCTATATATCATTTCATTGCATTTATTCTTTCTTATTTTTTCTTTTTTTAAATTTGGTTCTGTTTCCAGGATGTAAATAAATTTTAATGTAAATTTAATTAAAAAAAATTACATGTGGGAAAAGTTAAGAATGAACTCAAATGAAAATTGAAAGGGCACATTGTAGGTGTCACACACTTTTGACTTCCTTTTGACCAGTTGAACAAATCCTTAGCACCGCCCAGTTTCCTTTTCTCGTGACATTAATGTGAAAGGTTATTTTTCCAATATATTGTCCGTTTGTCCTCCAAAATACTCTCTGCAATATTTTGTTTTGGTTTTCTTCCGCAGATAGTGTATGATTTTTTTCATTTATTGTTGAATTTATATTTGAGGTTATGAATTGAAAAGATAGTAATTTTATTTAACGAATGTTAATTCTTACAAAATAATGCCATAACAAGTTTTCAAATTTCAAATAAAAACCTATACATTTATTTGATCGATGCATACATGTAAGAACAATATCAGCTTTTGTCATGCAGTATTGGCAGTGATATCTCTCTATAATGTTAAAGTGACTTCATTGACTATTGGAGTGGGTTTTTTTTACTGCAATTAATTAACATTCCGATATAAATTACCATCCCTTCTACATTTCAAATTTTAGAAGGTTGTTCTTTCCGATTAAGTCATAACTTTCATTTCAATAGACTGATAGAATGCTTTTATTTTGAAATTACTTGCATTAAGTATCATTCAAATGGTATCAAACAATAAATGGCGATGTTTTCGAAGACTTCCCAATGTTTTGACAACTTTGGATGTTTTCCCAGTGACATAATAATTTATACAACAAATCCTAGTTTCTGAACTTTTTAAACCCTTTTTTTTGTCATTTTATAATGAAATGATTATTGTTTTTACATTGATCTTAATTTTAATTAACATTTATACTTGCCACTACCTGCTTGTCTCATCTAAGATTTTACGCTATTTTAATATTTTTTCTCTTTATTAAAGTTTTGCTTATTACAGGGTAAAGTTTTATGTTGAGTCCATGGAATATCATATGACGATTGTCACGTAAATATTAATAAATCTTTTCGATAACTTTACTTTTTTTGTTTGTCAAAGAAAAACATTATTTTAATGTACATAAATTTAAAGCGTAATTGTGTAGGTCAGCTTAATTTTAATTTTTTCATTGTCTACAATTTTTGGGGATAATCCTGATTTAATTATAAAATTCCTTAGAACGGAAATCAGTACTCCGTGGACCTCTATTTCAAAATATTAACGGATAAAAGATTA